TTATATTATATTATATTATATTATATTGTTATGTTATATTATATTGTATTTTTATATATATTAAGCTTTTAAAACCCAGACGAAAGTTATCCTGTTAAAATTGAACCACATTCTGTTGTTCTCACAATAATTTCTTTAATTTGCTGGACCATATGGGCACCCCCTGAGGAGAGTTCACTTCCACCAATCTATTTGGTATTATTTATCTGGGACCGTTACTTCACCCGTAGGCGACAAAAATACGATAAAGCGCTCGAGATAGATTTTCTACTCATATACCCCGTCGGCAGTTCTGTTGATCCGGCTACACTCACTTTGCCCTGGTATTGTGACATTTTGCGAAAGAATGTGCAAGAGATATCTATCACTGCTTATCTTTTTCGAAGTTCCGTGAGCTCGTAGCACATGTTACACTTCAGTGAAACTCACAACTGCGATTGAAACCTAGTTTTTCAGAGAAAAAAATACAAACTTTCAGATTACAGTAAGTGCTCATCTCGCCAATCCGTCGTGTTGTGCAACGCAGCCCGTGCAAAACTAACGTGTTTGAGCTTGGCAAATTCCAGTTTTGTTAGCTCAGGGACAAAAAGCAATCGGAACTAATTTGAAACTCCTCCAACCCACCGATTCAAGCTTTTGGCACCCACACCAGCCGACCAGAGCTGTTAATTGACACTCAACACTGATCCAGTGTGAAGAGGACTTACTGATTGGTTCCCCGTCTGTATCATAACCTGGCCAATTCTGTGACCTGTTCACTTGGCCTGATGAAGCTTTTGTGTCAAAAGCGAAGCGTTGCCCAAATAAAAACTACCGATTGTTTACCAAGCTCTTCTGAAACGATGACTTCTCAATCGGTTCCAAACTTTTTCCAAATGACTGAATATTGAACGAGTTAACGTGGCACTGATCATCTATTTTTCTTATCATGGAGTCAGTCTTCATGACAGCGGGTTTGAGTTAGCTCGGTGATTAAGGCGCCAGCTTACACATTGGAATTTAAGCCCAATCTTAGCATCTTAACTTATCTCGTCCAGGCTTGAGCAACCTTGTTGTATCCCAGCTCTCGTACCTCCTTTCTTTGTTATGTCAGCCAGATACTGAAAAAGTGGTACAGCCGAAATGTAGTGAGAAAATGAAAGAGCATTATTTCTCCTTTGTGTTTTCCAAAATCTGGGGCCAGGTTAGTTGATAACGTTCATTGACACCGCAGAAGCGAAACATCAAACTAGTGTACAGCCTTTGAGCTTTCTGTTACGGTGTAGCTGGATGTTACCTCTTTTTGAAGAGCGCGTCTGAAGAAACCGAGCCATCCTCAACTTGGTCGGCTGGATTATGGTACACAAAACGGCAGTGTGATGAGCAAAGCGGCTGATATCCAGGTAGCTCAGTGGCTAGAGCGCAAGGCCCGTGGTTCGAACCGGACTTCTGTCTCTCGACTTCCCCTGTCTGGGCTCGGGCAACCTGGCGGTATCCTAGCCCTCATGCTTCCTTCGGGTAGCATAGCAGCTAGACACCGGAAGAGTGTTGAAGCTGAACGATTATCTTTTTATCTTTCTTCATTTGACATGAAAAACCATGTTTGCCTATTCCTGATGTGTCTGCTGCTACTGCCTGAATTAAGTGACAGCTAATAACAAGCGAACATTTGTGTTGCTTCGTAAAAAGCAGTTTTCAGATGTCTACTTGATGGGCTTCACCTTTAAGAAGTCACTAGTAGAACCGTACGTGTGCATATGGGGCATGTCGTTCACAGAGGTGTACAAACTCTGCCACAAACATTGCTTCTAAAAGCTGGAGAATTTGTTGCTTCGACCTGCGATCTTATCTCCAGTCAATTAGGAACTTCTCGATTGAACCTGATGTATTCATCCCGCACGAATCATACACCGCTCGATCCCGATCAACTTTTAGATGACTTTCTTGTTTTTGTAGTTTAATCGTCAACATACCAAGAGTTTGAAGCGCTTTTTCTCGCATTCACGTGAACAATCACGTGTACTGCACAGTATTCCTTTGCCAAACACCTAAGCACACACCTCAAGTGCGGTGTCTGAGTGCAAAGACAATCCATCCGGTGTTACTTAAATACAATGTAGCAAACAGAACCTCAGGTTGGCTCGCCGTCCAAAGTCTCTAAAGCTGGTCCATTCATACATACCTTTTCTCACGTTATCTCTTCATTGTTTTAACAGGATGAATGAGGGTTCTGTGCGTTTCGTCAAATGGATGTCAAAAGATTGCTCACAATTCCAAACTGGACGCATTATCCCGACGTTGACCGATTCTTTGAGAGAGTGGCTCTGTCGTTCTTTGTGTAAACTTTCCCCACCAAGCTATTTTATCTTTATTTTGCCCCCCGTGTAAACCATTTATTGTGCTCTATATTTTTATATTCCCTGCATATCTGAACTGCTCCTGGCGGTCAGCACCGAAGATACATAAAATTACATTTTTAGAAAATTCTTTATCACCTCTGGGTTTCTTCGGGGGGGGGGACACTGGATTTCGTTGTTTATGTGGACAATCTTGTGGGTGTTGAACTAAGTTAGAGTATGCAGGCTATAAACAAGTACAATCCCGTACATTTATTTTCGACATTTGTCTGGCCTACCAATCGAAGGTGGCACATCCGAGAGTATCTGAAACGTCTTGTTGATCATTCTTCGCTTTCCATGATGAAACGATTCTCATTAAAGTTGGACGTAATTACTCATTCCAGCTTAGTTTACCTCCACTCTCGTGGGTCGTGTTTTCAATGCAGGATGAAACATTCACCTAATGAGCCCTAAGCACCATCTTCGCTCAGCACGATACATGTTCCAGCTTTTTACACACCGTATGTAGTGTGAGCAGGGTTGGGAAAAGTGACGTTTTGTGCACCTGACCGAAACCGGAGATATCCAGTAAATTTAAGAGACCACGTACTTGGCCTACTAGTGTAACGGTGATACTACTGATGGGTGAGGCATGCTAGTAGTATGTTTTTTGGTAAATTCGCATTGCGTCTCTAGAAAAGTGAGATCTATTGCCGAATTCGTTGAATCGCTTTGTAGCATTTGCTTGCATTTGTGCAACAGTCAATGAATATCCAGGAAAGTTTAGAAAGACGCGTTCAAGTGAAGATGGATGTTCAGTTTTTGTAAACAAGATGCATATGAAAATTTGCCTCCCTGTCCAAAAGTCTGTAACTGTTTAGTTGGCATTTTCTAATAAATAACTCTGCAGCGAAGACCTTCTTCCTATCACTAGTATTTCTTCCATGAGTATCATAACATCAGATAAATGTGGGACCCTCGCAGGGGTTCGCGAGGCCACCGCATCCCATACACCTCTTGGATTTACGCTCCCCTTGGGGAAAAAGCTTTACGCCGATGAATTACAATGTTTCTTGGCACAGATCTAGTGGATATAAATGAATGACAAACATACACACAGTTTTGGTGGCTAGTGTGCGGCAAAACATTGGTAAATTCAACGCTGTGGAAAATTCATCTAATGGTCTTGTATCAGTCACTAACTTACGGTATTTGTATCTGGAAGTAACTCTAATCGCACAACTACTGGTAAACGAATTACATCTGCCAGACCATTGGGAGATATCACTTAGCTGATTACCGCTTCCGGTACCGATTGATTTTGTGAAGTAGCCAGCGTTTTATATAACGTCATGTACGTTTCAGCCCCATTAATGAAATATGGGATCTTCACTATTATGGAGAGTAGATGCTTCTCCTCAGTAGAAGCGGAAGCCGGTGTATTTACAGTCCATTATTCGCCCACTGTTTCGATGTAACAACTTTCAAGTCGTAGGTTATAGGCAGATAACCCTTATTCTTTGAGCTGGGGTTAGATGTGTTTACCAAAGTTCACTCGATTGTTCTAAATGCGGTTCTAAGACTCAGCGAAGGAGATGAGTAGTGACCTCAACATGAAGTGGTCGGAAAGGTGTTAATTACATCATCCTCATTTTGCACTTACTGTGACTTGTTTACGTTCTTTCATTAGTGCCTTGTCTATATAATATGTTGGACGGACATACACAAGTGTGAATGACTTAAATCAGTGGCTTTATCTGCATGAATTAAGACAAACCCTGACATACTGAGTGTCTAACCGAATCCAGCGTTGTTGATTATCGTGAGCAGCCATCAAGAAGGCTTCTTAAGTAATCCAGCCCTGCCTCCTAGTAAGCTGCTATATGCAACAAAATGTATCTAACGGGACGGGCACGACTTGATCTCCATGGAAGCAACCTCTCAAACGCGCTTCATATCTCCTTTAATGCAACTAACTTTCAGAGGGGCTGACTGGAGTCAGCGTCACCTGAGGACAGTGCCTGGTTGTTGATGAGTATTCGTGAACGGATCAACATAAACATGAAAGATTTCTAAAAGAATGCTTATATCGATTGAACTGATGCATGGTGAGCTGATATCGACCCGCTAAGGTTCATTCTGATTGGCCAGCCTACTGATTATTCGTCAACTCGACAATTTTCACGCCCACGTGAACTTTCTAGCGTGGATTTAAGAAAGGTTTTGTGACATTATAAATACTTCTGCAATGATTGTTCCCAAATAAGGGTACTTCGAGCTGTTTTTTGGCACGCCCTTTTGAGCAGAACAATCAATCAGGTGTTGTGTAATCACAAACGTGTTAACTTGTATTTGCACGCAAGTCGATAACACTTCTGCACCTCATATGATAATAAGAGGCAAAGATATTCTCCATCTGTATAGCGATTTCCTTGAAAGACTTTGTGAATAGTCAAGCTAGCGATCAGTCTTTGAGTAGTTTCTCCATTCTGAGAGTTCATGCTAAATGAAGCGGTCGAGAAATTTGTGCGAAAAAACGCAAACAACGATGCAATACCAAAAAAGCTTAGAACATTAGCCACTTCAAACGGTAAACAGTCTTCATCAAACACTGTGATGCGTGTCAGATTCGCACTTGAAATTGTCACGATCGAAGAAACCATTAGGGTCTAAGGCACCCCTCCACGGATTCAAGAAACAACGGTTAGTTTATCATCCCAATTTATGTGAGTGAGTGAATTTGTGAATGTCACATCAAGAAAGAAGGGACGCCCACTACTTAAGGGGCGATATGTCAATCTGAGGAAATTTACAACAATTACCTACTTTTTGGTCCCCAAACTGTGAATTCGATGAACAAATACAATTTAAGAGCCTAGTCAGCATCTGCGTATTGTATTGAGTTGACTGTGACTTAAGTTGTGGCCAGCTAACACAAATTCTGACACATCAATACGACCGCAGTGAAAATGAGAGTCTCACACATTGTTGTACAGATTCCGCTAAACTTAACATTCGAAGAGGATCAAAAATATGCAAAACAAAATAACATAAGTGTGTCGATTGTGATCAGTACTCTGCAAGGCTCCTTTTGAATTGTTTGCAAGACCTCAAGAAGGGAACCGTGGAAAATTGAGGCCGACATATCATATGTGGTGCTCTGTGTCCGAAGGCAAGGCTTGACTTGGAAGCCTTGGTCACCTTAAAGGTCATCCTGGCGAATTGTGCTGTGAGCCGTTCTAGGGCAATGAGTCCAGAGGAATAGCTGGTTGACTAATCACTACCCAAGTGGCACCTAGGATCCAGCTACGAAATCAGCTTTTGAGGTTCAATGAGAAAGGACGAATGATGAAACTATAAACAGTTTTAACCTTGACTCCATTGGTGCCTTCCAAACACTCTATCCAGATGCACCAGTCTAAAGTATGAGATTCCAAGAACAGTCACCAGCAGTTTCTGCAGCCAGTCATCTTGGGAGTTTCGCTGTCGAGTCGACATTTTGTTTGCCACCGTGAGGAAATTCCTTGCTGCAGACAAGTATTGTCCGATCTATTCAATCCACATTGCTGATTGTAGGAAGGCTCGCAATAGGTAGCACAAACTCTTGCAACAATGTAATGGAACTGACAAGAAATCCACCCTGGCTCCACTTTCTTGGATTTATGGTGATAGTAAGAGCAACTATTTAACTTCCATTACATAGAAACATTTCCGATAATACGATATAAACTAGTGAGGAAACGCGCTTGTAGTTTAGAGCGCAGTCTCTGTATCTGATTGTTTCTTTTTTGGAAATTAGTGAACCCTTTTACAATGTTTGTTTGTTAGGGTTTTTCCCAAAAAGGTGAAGAAATTCAGGAGGATGCTCGAATGTCTTGATTCGTTCAAAAACTCTATGCGAATGAGGTTCTTACTGTCACATCTGAGCTTGTAACCGCTTAGTTTGTTGCTAAGCCACCTCACACTCCAAGATGCTACACCTTTCATCGGTAGGCCGCAACTCATTCGGTATGGCTAGTGTCCCGTTTCCAGTTAGTAGTGATCAGGGCTCAGGTCTTCTTACAAAATACCCCACAAAATTGCATCACCATCCAGTAGTTAAGGCGTGATCTCTCACCTGAAATGACTGATAAGTCATCTCATTGAGCAAAATGCCTTTTGAAGCTTCGTCTTCTGGTGGGACATCAAACTCACTTGTTGGTATTCGCTACAGGACTGAGGTACAAACTGGTACCGCGCCTTGGTTCAGAGCGACTCATCGGTCAACAGACTGTCAGTCGTATTGTCGTTAGATGAAAGTGGGTTAGGAATTAACTAACCAACATAACTGGATCGTTTGGTGACCACATTTTGAAAATTCTGACCACATGCACTTAATAACATGCTCCAGTATTGACCCAGGGTGGCAGAGGATCTTGCCAAAAAATTGTTGGGATCGTAATGCCTCGTGATCTGGTTGGATTGCAAAAGTAACTCAAAGAAGATAATTGTGTGGCTGTTTCCTCACCCATTTGGCAGCCAACACAGTCTGCTCTGTTTGGACACGCCCATCGTGTTTTCAGAATTAGGACGCCAGCACTTGTTGGTGATGCGTACCGGGTGTAACTTTGGTGAAAAATGGCGAAAATTCAGAATACCTCCAAGACAGCTCTCATCCGAACCCAAACAATGGAAGAACTTACCTGAAAACAGTTAAAATGTACTATTTGCTCTCTGTGTGAACTTTGATACATATCTCCTATGCTAATGAGAAACAAGAATTGATGAGCAAAGTTCATGAAAGCACTGATATGACTGCGCTTCAGAAGTTGGAGCAAAACACTAAGGAATTCACCCTCATCGGCAGCTCAGTCGCTCGAAATCGGGTGCAGAGGACAAGCATTTTGCGAACGGACGACCGCATCAACTTCATGAAATCGTCAAACTATGTCAGGAACTTATCCATCTTTCCACAAGAACGAATGGATGAATATCATCCATATACAACACAGCGGCACCCAGCCCTTGAACAAAAGCATTTACACCTTGCTGAAAAAAGTAGGTAGTTATGTATTTACACATCTCAGGATGAGTCTATATCAGTCCAGCAGTAAAGCCCTGTTAAGCGCAAATTGAATACAGGCCTTCTTTATGTTTATCTTGGGAAAGT